GGCACACTAGTGTGCCGCGGCACAGTGGTTGAAAAACACTGCTTTAGGCATATTTTAAAACATGTCATTGCAACATAATACAAGTAGCTAAGATTTGTAAAACATTAACATGCTTCATTATCTTTGTTGAATTAAAAAGCTAATAGTTTAACAAATTTGCCGTATACTTTCTTTTCTTTAATTTCTTTCCCTTAAAGACGAATTTCCTGGTTTTTAAAAATGTTATTTTGTTCTGAATTGCTTTCATGAGATAAAGGTACACAAATTTTCTTTTTATACATTGTGTACAGCACTGCAAATGTAATGTTTGAATAGTTCAGATGGCTTAAATGGATCAAAAGATAAGGCAGGCTTTTAAAATGACAATATCTGGGAAATGAAATTCAATTTTCTTTTTTTCTCCTTTTTGTGTCATTGTTTTCTTGGTAGAAATGTTAACATGTTGCCTACATTCTTGACAACTTTATCATGGTTTTCAGAGAAACCAGGCTATTTAAAGGCAAAACTGCAATTTTGAAATTGCAATATCTGAAATTACTTGCATTTCACATGAAGATTCCTATGAGCTATTAGTTTCATTTGTGACCATTGGGTAATGATCGGAAATAAAACTGCCTTTGTGATAGCATTCCAATTGCGAAAGCTGTCTTCTCTTGTTTTTTCACCATATGAAAGCAATGCTGTTCTTCCACCCTTTTATAGGATATGATTTTAATAACTAATCTTGGATGTTTTATTCAAGCCTCAGTCCTCAATATTTTGTATAAATAATAAATCTCTTATTATATATACAGACATGACAACTGCAGCTCCACTGGGAGGTGAAAAAGACGAAGATTTGGAGAAGAAGGATGAAATGGATGATGATACAATGTTTACTACACTGGGTGAAGAAGACAAATCAAAGCCCTCTGTGGCTCCTCGGTGGGCCACTCGAGTATTTGCCGCAGATTGTCTGTGTCGAATTATCATGCTCTGTGAACATGCAAATAAAGCCCACTTTGATCTAGCTCTGGCCCGCTCTGCCAAACTTAGAGACCCTAAAAGTAAGGAGTAGTGTGTGTTTTCTGTTCTTTTTTCTTGAATTTGTTTATTAGCCACTGTAAAGTAACTTGAATGAGTAATCAGATATTATTTTACCTTGATGAAAGATGGATTGCTGTAGCCATATTATACTTTAAAATATCTTACATGGTTTATCATAATAATATAGTAATATTATTCTATTACTTATAATATTATTCATTTAGTGACCATTCAAAGTTATAACGGCACTGAAAAAAGTGAACATTTTTCACACTTATGGATGTTGCAGCATCCCCATGGCCACATGAATAAAATTCAGATGCTTGACAACTGACTCATATTTATGATGGTTGCAGTGTCCCAGAGTTATGCGACCTTCTGAAAAGCAATTCAGATTCATTTAACAACCGTATTACTAATTTAACAACTGCAATGATTCACTTAACAAATGTAAATTCGTAAAACGGGGCAAAACTCACTTAACAAATTTCTTACTTAACAACATATACTTTGGGCTCGATTGTGGTTGTAAGTTGAGGACTACCTCTATGTGCTGCCTATTTAGATTTGTTTTTCTACAACTGAGATTTGGATATTTTAAATTATGCTTTACTCCTTAATTTTCACATGTTCACTTTTGAATACTGTTTTTATATCAATGCTTACTGCTTTCGTTCACATTTTAAATATATCCCAGACCGTGGTTTATTGTAAAGCTGTTCATCATAGTTTCCTCAGTCGGGTATAACACAAAATATAGTTAATTCAACTGGGAAATCTAAAATGTAAGGAAAATGAAAGTGGTTGTATGAAGATGGAACAAATCATTTTCTGCAGATTATCATTGTGAGCTTTTCTGAATGATTTGCTTAAAAGTTGGGACACCATACTTAAAATTTGCAGATATTTCCGTGATATATTGTATCTTAAAACACAAGACACTGAATGTCATTTTTGTTAGAGATTTTAGAGAGTGTTAAATGGGGCAAGTTATTTATATCTGGTAGTGATTTTTTTCTTAACAGAAGACACCTTATGTTTTCATAGCTCATGCCATATAGTTTTTTCTGATGTTCCCTATATTTTTCTGTATCTCATCAGAAAACTGCCCCAGGGAAGCAATTTTCCAAAAAATAAATCATCATCATTCTGTATATGGATTTCGTCTTTTGAATCTCAATAAAATTGCATTTAATCTCATACCACTTATTGCAATTTAATATTGAAATAAGATAAAATTTTAAAAGATGCTAAATGCAATGAAAGCCACGATTGTAGACTGTTTCTCATCTTTGCACACTTTGAATAGATCTGTTTTATAGTCTGAACTAAGCTTTTGTTTCAAAAATACTGTGCATTGTTCCTTTAACCAAATTAACCAATGGCTTGAATCTTAGAAATGATCACATGCTCTTCTGTGAATAATAGGTACTAAGAGCTTGCTAACTATAGTTTAGATTTTTGCAGAACATGAGATGAACTCTATGTCATTATTTTTAAAAATTCTTGTCTTGAGAAGAACAGTGCATAGAAGAGAGGGTCTGGAATTTGAAACAATATTTTTGCTCAGATTTTAGGGGGGGTTATTTTGCTGAAACTGGAGTAAACACACAACTTATATTTTTCTGAATCAAAGCTGGCCAATTGTGAGTGACTTTTGAGATAAGTCTTTTTTCTTGTTTTTATTTTCAGATGACCTTCTAGTGCTTCATCTCTCGGATCTTATTCGTATGGCATTTATGGCTGCAACTGACCACAGCAACCAGCTGCGAATGGCTGGTCTCCAAACACTTGAAGACATTATCAAGAAATTTGCAGCAGTTCCTGAACCAGAGTTTCCAGGCCATGTAATTCTAGAACAGTATCAAGCTAATGTAAGATAATCTTTGGGTTTTATGCCAGTTTAAAATCATATGGGGAGAGCTATGTTATCTCATTCCAGTACTGCTTATGTTGGAGTTTTGAACTGCATACATTGATGCTTTTTGACAATGGTCAATAGTCTATGTACATACACGGAGTTCAGTCAGAGCTTTACTCTTGATCTCATTTTATGAGGATTGTCTCTAAAATTAAGACCAGGCATTTTTTTCATAAAGTAAGATCTTTATTACGGTCAAAGACCAGCCATATACATTTGTCTTTACACTATATTAAAAATACTAACATTAAAATATAATTAAAAGTATTTACATTAAAAGTGGATAATAACATTATGGTCCAAAGATTGTTAAAGGTATGTCCAGATAATTGGTACAAGATGGTACTATACTGTAGCCAATTTTTTTCTTATGGACATTGCAGCAGCACAGAACTTTGCCACTGCATATGTGGTAGCCTAGATAAACATTGTCTGCCCTCCCTGGCAATCTCTCTAATAAGGGGAGAATATATGCAGACCTACAAGCTCTGTATAGCTCGCAGTGTAATAGTACATGTGAATTATCTTCCACTTCTCCTTTACCACATATACAAACGCGTTCGGATATAGGTGTTCTTTTATACCTGCCCTGGAGGAGTGCTGAGGGAAGAATGTTAAATCTGGCTCTGAAGAAAGCTATTCTTTGTTTTGGAGAGATCAGGTCATTCAGATATCTTGCCGATTCCCACACACCCTGTTTTATTCTGTCCCTACTGTGGAGAGGCAACCTATTTAATTTTTCTTGGAACTCCATGTCCCTCATTCTATTGATTACTACTTGCTTTCCTTGCTCAAAGCCTAGGGACATTAATAATAATGATGAAAGCCCATAAGAGCCTAGCTTGTGATCAATTGCTTGTTTCCAGGGGGAAGGGAAATTGTCAGTCAACACTAGTGCGGACAGTCCCTCTGGAAAGAAATGCATTTTAAGCCAATAAATGACCATCATCTTCCAGGCTCTTACTTACTTACTTTTCATAAAAGTTTGGATTATTCCAAGAAAAAGTGTTTCCTAATTTCTCTTAAATTCATCAGTTAAAATGAATGTGATTTTGCTTGTCTTGTTTTGCTCTGTGAGGGTACTGCATGTGGACTATATTGTGTGTCTCAGAAAAACACCATTAATTAATTCATTCATTCATTTGAAGAAATATATAAAAATCTCATGATGTTTTCAGTTAAAACTGAAAAATTCTATGAAATTGGCAATTTTATGACATTTTGACCATATTAAGAGTTGTTATATTATATTGCATTATAATATGAAACGTATTCAAAACTAATGTAATTAGTTGTATTGCAAAGGTCCATTAATACCTTCAAGAGGCATATAGTGATTCCTGCTTTCCATTGTAACAGAAGCTTTCAGTAACGAAGTAGTACTTCATATGAAGGTTGCGAGTTAATGCTCTAGAGTCCTACAAATTTAAGAAAATTACATTTTAAAATATATAGTGTGGATTATTCATTCATATTTTTTTCTGTGAATACTTTTTTGAAATTAAAAGAACCTAAAATAGTGATCTTTCTCTCTCCATCCTGTCCTAACAGTAGCTCTTTCTTTAATCACCTAAGACAGGAGTGTCAAATTCACATCGTCACAGTTGTGTCATGTGAAGTATTGGGACTTCCCCCCCTTCGCTAAACCGGGTGGGGGCAGAACCCATCTGGCCTGCGGGCCACGATTTTGACACCCCTGACCTAAGATGTTACTAAACCTGATTAGAATCCATTCAAATCACATGAAGTGCTCACTTCCTTTTTGACTAACACCATTAACACCATTGCTTATTACAGAAATGTTGACATAAAGCATACTCAAAAAATAACAGTACTTTATGGATCTGTGTGCTTCTAAAATTGATGTTGTTCCTCCATGAAAGTGACTCTAATAGATGAAACAATTGACCTAGACATATAGGAATTCCAATTTCAGTTGCTGAGATATGAGATATTTTGCTTTCATTCTTCTTTAGGTTGGGGCTGCTTTAAGACCGGCTTTCTCCCAGGATACCCCTTCAGATATAACTGCAAAAGCTTGCCAGGTAAGTATTAATGCAATTTCAAAAATTCAAAACACAATATATGGAAATGAGAGAGATATGAACTGCAAATTTGACATGTAACTCTAAAAATATATAATATAAATATTGTTTCAGTGTTTTTCTTAGAATGTTATACTAAGAAAGAAACTCTTCTCTTTAAATTTTCTGATCATCTGCATCAGAGGTGGGTTGTTCCTCATTTGGCCCAAATTGGATGAACAAGTAGTAGCGGCTGCGGGAGGCTCCACACATCTGCCCAGACAATTCTGCATACACGCAGAAGTGTCATGAAAGTGAGCGCGGGAGTACACCCAAACCGGTAGTAAAAAAATTGGCAACACACCACTGGTCTGCATCATCATGCTATTTAACTATCTTTGAAGGTTTTTCAAATATGTACATAGGGATTTTCCCATTTTGGTGTGCGGGGTATTCTTTCTGATTTTTTAAAAGGCAGGGGATAATTATTTGTATTAATCTCTCCTAGAAAATTTATCCTCCTTTCTTTTATTTCAGCCTGTCTTTTGCTGAGATGGGACTTGAACTGATATGTTATTGGATCCATGCTTTCATTGACTTTTAGGTATGCAGTGCTTGGATTGGAAGTGGCGTAGTAAGTGACCTTAATGACCTCCGTCGTGTTCACAACCTTCTTGTCTCTTCTTTGGACAAAGTACAAACCGGAAAAGGGTCTTCCAGCCAGCTGTATAGGGAGAGTGCCACTACGATGGAAAAACTGGCAGTCCTCAAAGCCTGGGCAGAGGTAAATGTTTAGCAATTACCATCTAGCAATTCGTTATTCTAGCTTTCCTGTGGAATGAAGGATGATTCAGTGCAATACTCTGTAGTTTCCTGCTGTACCTCTCTCAATTTCATAGCCTAGAAATGCAGCCAAAATTAGCTAATTAACAAAATCACACTTGCTTGCTCCTATTATAAGCAACATCTTTTTTTTTTTAGGTTTTAAGCTTAAAACAATTACTTGAGTGTTACTTGGAATATATTCAGCCTAGCTGAGTACTTCCACTGGCAGAATGGGAGAGGCAGAAATCACCATCAGTTCTCTTCTTCCTAGCAGTACTCAATTCCAGTTCTGAGCCTGTTCCATAGAGTTGTGTAACACTCTGAAATAGTGATAGTGGTATTTGAGATGGCAGAGAAAGAACAATTATTGCTTATAGTTGTGGCTGTTGTGATTCACACATAGGTTCTATATTAGCTCCCTCAATTTAAAAGTTCCTGCTTCTCTTCTAATTTGCTTCAACAAGAGGTACCAGCTTCATCTTCTATTTCTCCAGATGCCCAGCTGGTCAATGATTAGTCTCCAATGTGACTTTACATTAGGAGTCAATATTTCTTAAGGCAGAAATGTCAATTATGTCAACGATCAACAAGCAGCCTACTACACAGCTCAAAACCGCAAGGCCAAAAACACCATTAAAATGTAGGAAATATGGTGAAAATAACTTTCAGATTTAAACTGCATAAACTGTTATGTTGACAGAGCAAAACAAGCTACTATAACGTCAACATGTTTCACACTGTTAGAATTGATATGGCTCTTACTTTTCAGCTTGTTTATCTTGACCAGGGTAGGTTTGAGCCTTCTAGCTATCTGGCATGTGCTTCCAGGAACAGCAGATATTTTGAAATAGCTCAGTCTTTTCTCAAGATACCATCATTCATGCAGAGTTTGCTCCCATTACTGGAATTTTGATAGGCACTACAGATAGGTCTCATCCAGACAACAGTAAGATCACTCTAAGTGATAACTTGCATGTTGGTGCAGTTTCCTAGAACCTAGGGACTATATGTCATTTTGTGCCTTCTTTTATAGCAGCTGTGCACACTTTTATGGTAAAATAAGGCAATATACTGGTTGGCTTCTTGAGGCAGTGGCAATACACAAATGGAACCGTCATTGTTTGTCCTAGCCATCTGCTTCTCTTACTGGAGTACCCTAATAATATGGCACATAATAGTACATAATCAATAATAAGCTCTGCACCATCTATGTCAACAATTATTCTCCCCTGCTTCAGCAGAAGTGGCTTTGGTTATTAATCTTTAGAAAATAAGTTCTAGTTCCAGTGTCTCCAAAGTTTCATGTATTTATTTGCTCTGTTTTTATGGATTCTGTGGATGTTCCCAGAATCATTCATGGCAAATCTCATGCTATCCTATAGATGCTGCAAGATTATCTTAATCAGGGTGCCATCAACTTTTTCTATTGCCAGTTTGGTCTAGTGGTTAAGGCACCAGGCTAGAAAACAGGGAACCGTAAATTCTAGTCCATCTTAACCATGAAAGCCAGCCGAGTGACCTTGGGTCAGTCACTCTCTCTTAGACCAACTCACCTCACAGGGTTGTTGTTGTGGGGGAAAAGGGAGGAGGAAGGTGTGCTGGATACGTTCGCCTCCTTGAGTTATATGTAAAAATAATAAAGGTTGGATACAAATAAATAAATCTGAATAAAATATTTGTGTCTCAACTAGACCAGATCTGAATACCACAATTTGATTGACCATTTAGATGTGACCACTTTCAAATTTATGAATTGAGTTTTGGTCTTTCAGCTAAGGATCAATTCTCTGGCGATTTCAATAGCCCTAATGGATAGCTTTACTGTTTTTTCTTCAATCAATTATAAAACAGTTTTGAAAACGTTTTATCAAACTTGTTTCTCCATAGTTTCTCCTTGTATCTCCTCTGCTTAAAACTATCCAGTGTTATCCATGTTGGTATTGCTTGTTAAACTCCAGAATATGCCTTTTTCATTTTCTGACACTGCATGACAGAGCTTAGCATAACATTTTTTCTATGTCCTTCATTCAGATGGGCCCTATTTGCTTTTTTTTTCTCATAAGGACAAGATTGTTGTTTATGCAAAGATTTTTTGGGGGATTCAAAGACAAGTCTGAATTTGTGCCCTGTTTTTTCAAAGCCTATTGAGATGTCCTTCCCAGATTTTTGATCCTGAATGGACTATATAACCAATTTCGTTGTATTTAAATACAATGACAATAAAGATTATACTTATATGGCATCTTGTGTTTCTTAGAATTTATAGCCTCTATAAGGTGGTCACTTTGATAATTTAGTTGCAGGAAAAGTATTTCATTTTATTTCTAACATTTTGTTAAATGACTCACATCCATTGCCAGACTTCATTATGATCTAGCTAATATCCATATTCTGCTGTTGATCTTAAATGGTTTTGGAAAAGTATAATGTTGCCTGATATCTACCTTTCCCCTTTTAATTGAAATCACCCATGTTATCAGGCACTATCCATTGGATACACAGCTTCTGAAAGCTAGCCTGGGTCCTGTATTTCACTTCACTTCCCCAGATTATATTAACATGCTAATCACCTGTACTCTATGTGTTATAGAGATTGCAATGAAGAATTGGTTACTGATTTTTTCAGTTAACTCTGGTTCTGTAAACTTCCAGTCTGTTGTCCTCTACACTTAGGTTTGAATTTAATTTATCTTCATGCTGATCCTTTAAAATTTGATCCCCCGCTGGAGAACTTGATAATTAAGAAAAAATACAGCAGTGGCAGGGGAGACTCCTGCTTTTCTATAAAGTATGTTATGGTATAATGTAGAGATCCTATCAAAATCCTAAGCTCTTTTAGGATTTTCTTTTATACATTTTCATTTAAAATGTCTAATACAGCTATTTTGAAAGTTTTTTTTTTAACTTTATGGTTGCCAAGCCTTTAAATTAAATTGAAAAATACTTCCATAATGCATATATAAAACACAATAATTGGGAGCTAGCATGACATGGTATGCAAAGTTTTAAAATGAAATGCATTGCAGGTACAGACTTGCTGGCTGATCTTAGGTGACATTCTTCTCTCAGCCTCTTCTCTGAATGCAAAACAGTCAAAATAATGAGCTATTTTCCTGGATTGTGGTGAGAATGAATATCAGAGGATTTGTAATTTGTCTGAAAAATGTGATTACTAAAATTTTCCTGTTATTCAATTATATTTAAATACTTTCTTTACAGTGAGTGTATATAATGGTACCAGTTAAACCAATTCAGATCACCACCTAAATTCTCTTTTTAAAGTAAACAGAATTCAGCATGTACTCTATTTAATGATATGTAAGTCATATTTTATATTCTCTACACACTTAGTGATATGTTGTATGTGCTTTACCTAAAGGTATATGTTGTAGCTATGAAGATTAAAAAAGAAGCAGAGACCAAACCAAAGAAAGCAGCAAAAAATGGAGGAGATGATGAAGATGACGATTATGGCGCAGTAGATGTGCTGCCACCAGATAGTCTGATAACTCTTGTTCAACCAGAGTTGCCCACTCTTAGCCGTCTCTGGTTAGCTGCCCTCAAAGACTATGCCCTTTTGACATTACCAGCTGAATTTGCAAGTCAGCTTCCTCCAGACGGTAAGGCATAAATTTTATTCAGAATCCTTTGAAATTCATTTTAGTCGTCCCTTAATCATCAAGTCCTCATGCATGAAGCAGTTTGGGAAACATAAGTGATACCAATATTTCAACATTTCTGATAATTTGACAATTGTTATGATGTACTGGAATCATATTAAGCAGCTATTGCCATGAATTCTGTCTTTATATAAGCTAGAGATATTTGTGTTATATCACTAGCTGTGTTATGTGCCAAGATGTATTAGTAGCCATCCAAAAATGCTTACATTTATAAAGCTGTTCCAATGTAAAGGATGGATAACTGGACATCAAGCCACCACTTAATTAGAGCCTTTGATCATCCACTTCTTGCCACAAGACTTCTTCTCGTAGCATTTTTTTTTTTGTAATGTACTTGTATTTGTCTTACTTAGTCACAGTGAAACTTGCTAGGTTGTGGGGCTTCGTCTGGCTTTTTTTTGGTGATCCTTAGCCTTTTTCTTTGGAACTGCTCATTCGCCCTCATTTGTGCCTCATGGCTCATCTCCGCTTCTTCATTCCAAATCGGTCTCTCACAATCTCAGTAAAGGGACTGCTTGATTTGTCTGCTGGTTGCTGGCAAACCACTTAGCAGTCAGAGCAAGCTTGAGAGGTCTGTAAACAACTATCCACTGTTGCAATTGAGAATTTGGCGCCATCAGCCTGCAGGCAACAGTTGCAGCCATTGGCACAATCCAGGCTCCACTGGATGCTGGTGCAGTTTGTAGATGGCTCACAGTTAACACTGTTGGACTCGTGCTGTCCTCGGTCATCTTGAGGAAACTGGAGAGCCAGCTTCCAATAATGGATTGAGATTGTGACAGAGCTACACAAACCAGCATAAGCCAGGTGGTGTGAAAAGGGAAGTCACTCTGTTACCAACCAAGCAAGATACTTTTGAGGAGAAAGCTGCCACACAAAAGCTATTTGGAACTTTGTGACTGGAGTGACTCAGAGAAAATATTTACATATATGCTGAAATCTCTGATTATCTAAAGTGGGTGTGGGAACCACACAGGAGGGGGAACCCACCTGTAAAAATCCCCTTGATTTTGGCATGAGTCAACAGAACTGTGTAGATTTCTCATAGCCTATGCTTAAGATTAGGAATGATTTAAATTGTCTAAAGTTAGTTTAGCAAGGAGGAGCTAAGTTCAATGTAAAGATGTTATTAACTTCTTACTTTTATTTTTTATCAATATATCTTAGACTGTGGTTGTTAAATATCTATGCCGTGTACGGGTTCTGGGAAGTCGGGGGGTAGTAGGTTGTGGGGGCTCGGGGGCTCGGGTGGGGGGGAAGTATACTAGGCTTGATTTTAAAGCAAGATGATTGCACATGTATATTGTCCTCTCTTATAACATGATATTGTCTAGGTAATAATTTACATGTGATTATATCTTATGGAAATGGTTAATAAAAAATTTATAATAATAATAAAAAAAAGAACTGTGTAGATTTCTTGAGAATAGTGTGATATTGTAGTGATTTCCCACTGCTGCCTTCCAGGGTATTTTTTGATAGCTCGTGGTAGCTTATAAGCTTGATATTCATAAATATCTCCCATCCAAGAAACAGGGAGGTCCAGTTCTGTTTGTCTTCTAAATCCAGACAAGAGAGATCAGGTGTCTCTGTGTCTTGATGGATATATTACAAACATGTATTAAAATGATACTATAATTGTTATTGTCTCTATCCCTTATTAAAATGCATTATGATTCTTTAACAGGTGGAGCATTTTACACTCCTGAGACTATTGATACAGCTAGACTGCATTATCGGAATTCATGGACCCCAATTTTACATGCAGTTGCACTATGGCTCAACAGTACAGGGTTTAATGCCTGTGAAACAACAGGAGATGCCTCAGCAGCAACACCTCCACAAAAGCATGCCACACCCATTATGTTAAATCCAGCGTCAGAAACTTCACCTTCCACCAAAACTTTGCAAGAAATAAATAAAGATAGAATGCATTTGATTTTAGGTAATGCTTTTCAGTCTATTACAAAAATCTGTACAACTTACAATCACAATTGAGCCCAAAATTTATGTTGCTAAGTGAGAAATTTGTTAAGTGAGTTTTACGCCATTTTATGACTTACCTTGCCACATTTGTTAAGTGAATCACTGCAGTTGTTGAATTAATAACACAGTTAAGTGAATCTGATTTCCCCATTGACTTTACTTGTCAAAAGGTTGCAAAAAGTGCAACCCCATGACCCCGGGACGCTACAGCTGTCATCAATGTGAGTCAGTTGTCAAGCATCCAAAGGTAAATCATGTGACCATGGGGATGCTGCAACGGTCATAAATGTGAACAGTAATCATAAATCACTTTTTTCATTGTTGTTGTATCATTGAACAGTCACTAAGTGAACTGTTGTAAGTTGAGGACTACCTGTTGTATCCATTGTTTTATCACACATTACCAAATAACAGATTATTTTTAGGTATATGGCAGTATATACCAGTATATGGTATATGGCAGAACCATACTAGTTTCAAGAATACCCAGATCTCTTTGTGGTGTGTGAAAACACTTGCTGAAACTAAAAACTCAAGAATTAGTATACAGCTTCTGCATGTAAAAACTATTAGGACCCATACTTCATCTAGCTCTTAAACTCTGCAAAAATGCTACTTGACTACTTATAAACTTAAAGTAATTTGCTCCCCAGGTGTTAGCATACAGTTTCTATGTTCTCCTCGACCAGAAGAGCCTGTCGAACATGTTATGTCCTGTTTGCAAGCAGTGCACACTTTACTTGATTCCTCTTGTGCTAGAACCCATATTGCAGAAGATCAGGTATGTTGCAGATAAATGATTATAGTCCATTAAGTATGCAGAAAATTGAACAGATTATTTGAAAATGAAATTAAAGGAAAATGAATTATCATGGGCCGGAATTGTTTAGTAGATGTCTTTCCTTATTGTTCTTATTAATAGCTATTAAGAAAGAAATGTAGTCAAATAACAAGTCATTATTTTGGACCTTTAACAATAAAATGCTAACCAAGACCTTAAAAAAAAAACAATGAAAAGTAATGGCTAAAGATAAAAGAGTAAACTGAATTATATACATATTCCCCACAGCAAGGAGAAGCAGAGATGGTTCAATTGATTCTTTTATTTAAAGAAGAGAATATATTTAATTTTGTTTCTGTTTGGAAATTGCATCTGGATTTTGTGCTTACAATGGGAAAAAAATGAAACTTTTATTTTGTTTTTGCTGATTAGATATATTATTGTATAAAAGTGAAAAGTTGAGGTTGTAATGTTGTTAACGTCTACTGTGTTAAAGAGAGTTGGAAGTCGGTGCCTTTTTATTCCCTCCCCTCCACTCTTTACTCCATATTTCTTTTTCCCACTCCCCCGACTGAATTTTCTATTACTTTTTTAAAATTCTCGTATTTTATACTTTGATAAACTAATAAAAATGTATTTTTTAAAAATGGGATAGAATATTGCAAATGTCATTTTTTGAAACTATGCTTACAATTAATTTTTTTAAGCTACTTGGTGTCGAACTTTTGAGCGTGCTCCATCGACTCTTGTTGACCTGCAATCCTCCATCAGTTCAACTCTTAGTTACAGAAGTTGTGCAACAGATCATAAGAGCCGCTCAGGATCATTTACAAGAAAAAAGAAATACATTGAGTAAGAAATACTTGTTGTTTTTCATGCTACAGATGTCCAGATTAGAGAAATAATGAGACAAGCTATGTAAAACTGTCTTCTTGACTTATGAATTGGCTTAACTGACCAATGTCTGCCCTGGTCCTGGATGTTCATTTTTGAATTTACAAAATATTTACAATAAGTCCAGGTATATTAGCAGGGTTAAAAAGAAATATCTTTAATAAAATACTTTTTGCCCTGAACAGCTGCAATATACTTTTATGTATGACCTTTTAAAATTACTTGGACTTGCGTATCACAGCTAATTAAAATATAGATTTAATAGCAGCTATACATAAGTTCAAATGTAAAATAAATTGAAACAAAAGAGCAAAAAGAAAGTTGGAAAAAAACAGATCAGTGCCAAGTTATAAGCCTGATGTCCTCTCATGATTTTTGTATCCTATATGTTTTTAACTTCGTTGGTATGAGGTGAATTACCATGCAAACTATAAGAAAAACAGTTTCAAATGTTGAAAACAATTTTATTGTCCTTTTTGTCAGAAAATAAAATAAATCTGTCACATTTAACTTTGTGTGTGCAGGTTTGTGTGTATTTTTTATTTAGTTGCTTGTTTTTTAATTTGTAGAGGAAATAAGAATAAAAAGCTTTTCTTAATGGAATAATTTGATATGCACTGATGCAATTTATGATAGAAGCAAAGAAAAAAATGTCTGCGTTGCATAGTGTTTATCTCTTGCTGATTTAAAAGGGAATGTATTCATACCATCTCATTTTTTAATTTCAATAGTAGCATATACTTCTGTGATATCTCATCCTGTTTTCATTAGTTCCTATAAAAAAATAGAAAACAAATGCAATCTATAAACTTTTGACTACTAATGAGTTTCAGTTGATTGCTTCATTTAAACTTAAGGTTTTAACATGTACATTTGGTGGCATTTTCTAAAATGTCTGCCATGAATTTCATATTATTACTCCATTATTTTTTTGTCTTTGTAGATGAAGAAGATGCAAAAGACAGTAACGGTGGGCTGGGCGAAGGAGGAGACAGCGGTGGTCTTGTGCCAGGAAAATCTCTTGTATTTGCTGCTATGGAACTGCTAATGTTTATCCTTGTGCGACACATGCCACATCTGAGCACAAAAATGTCAGATTCTCCAAGTCATTCCTTCAACAGAATCCAGCTCTCAGAAGAAAGTGCTCGTCTTGTGGCTGCCACCGTTGCCATCCTGTCTGATCTACCCACTCTTTGTTCCCCAGCTGGTAGTATAATAGATCTTTCTCAAAATTTAATCAGTGGGTTCCACAAAATGTTAATTCTCAGTGGATTTTTTTTATAAAACCCAAATTTAAACAAAAGAAAGTGCATGGAGAGTATTTAAGGAGGCAGCAGAAGTTCAAGAAGTGACACTTAATAATGGACAGAACGTTGCTTGGTGATAGAGTGGACAAAAACAAGCATAAAAATCTAAAAAAATGTTTAAGATGTGTTTTATTCTTTGTTATGAGGCTTTGAGACATTTGAATAGGCTTAAGTTTTTCTTCTCTTTTTTAAGAGTCCCTAAATTTCTGTTTCTGACATTTCCTTTTTTTAGAACAATCTTTGTTACGCCTTTAAAAAGGGCATTAATCACATTCACCTCCTACAACTACTTCTCCATGGCATATTTTTTATGTGCATTTTTTGTCGTGTGTGCTTTCCTGTATTTCTTCATTGGTTAATATTTAACAGGACTAATCATCTCAATTGGTCTGTATAAGTGCATGCATAACCACATTAGTTAGCACTTCCCTAAATCAAACACATCCAGCATTCCTGAATAATCTCAGACAAAATACATAGTTTATTTAAGGAGTTGTTGGCAAGTGCATCAATGCACCATTGAAATCATACTGCATGATTGATGGCACTGCCTCAAACAGATTCAGTGCACTGTATGTAGGTTTTCCTGGACTCATACCTCCTGCTTGAAGAGAGCCGATGGTACCTATGGCCAGAGCCATTATACAATTCCATATTGTATGCCAGTTGCGCCTATTCCTGGACCTTTACAGTCACTCATGCCCTGGTCACTTCTTGAATAAATACTGTAGTACACTTTACAGGGGGCTGCCCTTGAAGAGCATTTGGAAGTCATTGGATTGTTGATTACTTGTTGTGATCTGCCCAGAGTCACTTAGATGAGATGGGTAATCAAGCAAATCGAATGAATGAATGAATGAATGAATGAATGAATGAATGAATGAATGAATGAATGAATGAATTTTTTTACCAAGAGAGCCCAGGATGGTAGTTATTAATGAATACTTTGCTTCTGGCATTGATCATGCCTCTTGTGCATTCTGAAAGTATCTGATTTATGTTTATGTTTTAGGATCTATGACTATATTGCCCACTATCCTCTTTATAATTATACAAGTGTTGAAAGATACTGCTGTAAAAACTGTGGGAAATCAGGTCCTACCACCAGTCGGTGCAGCGCTTCAAGGACTGAAAAACATAGTAACCCTTCCAATGACCATGAGTGAGAATATTCATAAACAGTGGACAAATCTTATCCGCAGCACCCTAGCCTCCATCTTGGAATACTCTCAGCCAGGTAATTTTCATGCAATCACTCTTTTGTAAAAAGAAGCAAAGATAGCTGGTTTGCATTAGGAAATGAATCTGGTATAATTATGTCACTATGCCACATGTTTTAGATTTATAGAAAAAGGTATGGAAATCAAAACAGCATTGTATTCACATTTTTGGTGGAACAGAGTTCAGAATCTTCCTTAATGCCTACAGTGTTTCATTTTTCTGTACATGCTGAAGGAATTCACAAGTATGTGAAATTCTGCTTTTTATTAGGCAAGAGTAATTAATTGGACAAATGAATCAAATTCAGCAAGTATTGTAGAATGTCTCTTTTAAAAGTGCACATAGTTCAATTCATTCAAAGTTGATTTTTCACAAAGTTAACAAAATATGTTCTGTCTTAGGACTGCTTTCATTTCCATTATATGATTATTATTTAATCACAAAAATATATTTGGATAGATTTTTAAGGATAGAATCCTTAAAAGATTATATTATTTTTGAAATCAGGAACATTGCATATTTATCAGCATCTTCATTCTTGAAAATAGCAGTTATATTTCCCTGTCCCAAACTCTATTTGGTATACGTTTTCTGCATCTTTTTGTCCCCACCCCACCTCCAGAAACCTCCAAGCCTACTTTAGATGAAATAAGTATGCTTACTGCCATCACACTGTTCCTTTGGTCTGCAAGCACTGAAATAATTGGAGTGCAAGCATTGCAAAATGGCTGCATTAACAGATTTAAAACAGCATTGAATTCATCTGATCCTTGGGTAAGTCATTTAGCTTTTATCCATATTATTTTACATATATGTTTTTGTCAGTACCATATCATGATCAGATTGTTCTCTGTTGGCCTTGAGTTCTTTGCAGCTGCTTCCCAAAGGACCTACAGGATTTGATCTGTCTTCAAAAACAAATACAAGTATCTTCTGCAACTAGCAGGTTCTAATAGATGCTAATATTGGACCCTGTTGTTCCAGAAGGAACCCATATTTGTTTTTGAAGCTCTGGTGCACGGTTTGATTGAGAACTTAGCTGCTGCCTAGAATGATTTTATTTTAGAATAAAATAAAATGAAACAATAAAACAAAGCAAACTAAAAAAATAAGATTTCTGGTGGATGCTTGTTAACTTGACATACTTACCTTAAAAATTAAAACTGAATTTTATTTTTTATAGTTTAATAAAATTAGATGCCAGAGGACAGATTAGTATTTTAAAAAAACAACAAGCCAGGGTTTATCTGATAAACACTTCTGCTTCCATTGAGGCATTAATATTCGTGTTGTTGAAAAAGGATTGGATAGAATATTTTAGATGAGAATATGTATTTGTATTATTTATAGACTGTATTTATAGGCAGAATATTATATCATCTCTCCAAAAATCCTTTTTACTATTAGTTAGGGTTTTAAAAGAAGTATTTGATTTGATTGAATCCAATGAGATTAGACTTGTATGTGTTATGAATGAAGTATGTAATTTTTGACCCTTAGAAAGATAAGCTAAAGAAAAACCTTTATAATGGAAAGGTTTGCAAGTTAGATAATAAATATGACTCCATTGTTAGAATTTTATTTGCCTTTTTTCTTTTAACATTATCTGAATGTGATATTTTATGGCAAATTCTTACTAACCCAGCTACATTTGTATATTGCGCTTAGGTTCAAGCCAAATGTTACCATCTTCTACTTTCTATATTTCAACACACAAACCGTGCTCTCTCTACCCCATATATACATTCCCTGGCACCAATAATGGTTGAGAAACTGAAAGGTGTGGAGAAAAACCGTCCAAACAACAAAACAGAACTCTTAGCAATCCAGGAGGGAATTAAAGTACTTGAAACACTGGTTGCTCTTGGTGAGGAGCAGAATAGTAAGTACCTTGATTGAGAATTACCATACTTGTCTTGTTGGAGCACATTAGCATGCAGTAAAAGCTGAAGTGTTCTTGAAAACAGTGGATTAAATATATTTCACATTGTATCACACATTTGGGTTAAGTACAGCACTTAACCTCTCTTTTCTAAATTCAAGGCAGTCATATTCCAAGGATATTGTGCAATATTCTGACTGGAGCCATCTAGAGCAATTAAAATTCTGGGAAACAAAGTTAACTGGAGCTAGATCATTCTAATGTCTAACATCTGCTCTGTGAGCTATTTGAGGAAAAAAATGTCCTTTGGATTTTAAGATGCCTATTAGTTTAATCAGCAAAAGATATGTTCTAGTTTGCAGTTTACTGCCCTAAAACCTAGAATTTCTAATAAATAATTTCTATGTAAAAGTTATCATGTTTACAAATTAACATCCTTCTATGGACATATAGTTAGATGGGTAGATATACCTTTTCACTTAAATAGGTATATTTGTCTTCAAATGCATGAGACAACGAAGCATATATATTTTTATTAAAAGGAATAAGGCAACATGCATAGACAGAGCTTCTCCACAGAGAAAGCATCTATCTGTGGCAACTAGTCTGAGATATGAGATTATGATATTCTAATTCTCTTATCCATGTGATAGATTCAAATAGCATATCTATAAAAGTCACCTCCTCTTCAGTATATTGCTAAATGTAGTTTTATTCTATAGCTGTCCCCATAGTAACCAAGCACTTTAGAGAAATATTTTCTAGCCTAGAACTGAGCACATTGCTGAATGATGTGAAGGCCCTAAAAATAGTTGTTCTATTCTCTACCGCTGGGAATTTTTAAATATTATCAAATGTATTGTCATTATTTTGGTGGTGTTTATTTTCTAACAGTAATATATCAAAACTTACACATGCTGAAGATATCCTACATTGTCCCTCTTGAATTTTAATTATTTTAACTGATTTCTTTTTTTCCCCTCAGGAGTACAATTGCTTGCTCTTCTTGTCCCTACACTCATATCTTATTTACTGAATGAAAGTGCATTCTCTTCTGCATCCCTGGTATCAAAAGAACTTCATGAATTTGCTCTCCAGGATCTCACCCGCATTGGACCCCTTTATCCTCTTGCATTTAAGACAGTAATGGGAGCAGCTCCTGAACTGAAAGCACGACTGGAAACTGCAGTACGAGCAAATCAGGCAAGCAAAGCAAAGGCAGCTGCCAGGCAACCACCACCCACAGTACATTCCACGCCAACAATTAAACTTAAAACTAGCTTTTTCTGATTCTTGTTGGAACAATCATAAAACACTCATCAAAGAAGACATCATTCCTTCTGTGCTGCTGTATCTCATTCTCTATTTTTCATTGTTTGTCAATAGGCTCTGCATTAGCAATGTATGTTTCTAGGGAATTGTTGTATTATGGTTTGAAATCTGCGTATTTCAAGAAAGAAGATATCTGGATGTATATAGATTTTTTATGAAATGGAGTAAATTGACCATCTGAAGTTGTGTTAAACTATCTCCTTTAACAATGTGTTTTATGTAGTTTTGGTCTTTCTTTTTAGAATATTGAGTTCTTGTTAATTATGAAAGTTGGGTATATATTTTCCATAGGTACTATCTGTGGAATCTTGTGAACTACACTGCTTCCCTATCCAGCATTTTAAAAAGGAGCAATAGCTGTGATCACATTGCAGTATATCGGATGTTTCAGTGAAAGCAATTTGAGATGAAATTACAAATGGCAAAAACTTTAGTCTTGCATATGGTTCTCCAGTAGCTTCTACTAGCTCTTATCCAACTATACATGAAGCACCTGAATGTACTCCCTTAGTGCATCTAGTTATTAAAGATAAAGATCTCCAAAGTACAGGATCATTTACTAAACCATTGCTTACATTTGGAGAAGAGGAGACAATCTAGTTCTCCTAGTGTACAAACATTTTCTCTCGGCATTAGGAATAATTTGTAGGCAGAGCCATAAAATTATGGTTACATCTTTCTCATTCGCTCCCCCGCCCCCTCGATTAAAATTTCTGTTATAACAGAATGCCATTCAATTTCTTTTTGAATTGTTGTATCTTCTTCATAAAGTATGGAGTGGGTACTACTTTGTAATAAACCAACAGATACTTGTGAATGTTTTTTTGCCACGTATAGGCATAAACAAAATAGTCTACACTGAATGATAAAGAAGATATTTACTCTACTTATTTTGTAAATGCCCTTGGACTGTGAACCGTATTTCTATGTCTAAAAAACAATTCAGCAGATATCAATGCCTTCATTGGGGAGCATGATCTGATGGTTCATTTTACTCTGATATTAGAGCATGGTCTTTAAGTTAAAGAATGTATATATTCAGTCTTTATCAACACAATGCTCATAGTCTGAACATTCTGCAATTTAATTTGCTCCTTAACAGACTTTTCATGCAGGGGTTAAGAACAGTCTGGTTTGTGAAGCTCTGCTATTTGAGGTCAGGCCTCTAAGTGACACGTTTTTCTGAAGGGCAGGATTGTTCTCTTCTCACAGATTGCTATCTGTTTGAAAAAAATGGTGTTTGCATTCTCAGAATGATTTTCATGAGAAAACCTGGCTGACCAGGATTTTATTTAATTTTATTTTTATGGCAAAAGTCAACTCAAAGCTGAACTCCCTAAAACATTATGTGGCTTACAGTGGAAAGACTAACAAGGTGAGGTACAAACAGGAGGTTGGTTAAACTTGCTAAAATGTATATGAAGTATAAACCAACATATCTAAAAATCACGGAAGACGGGAAGGCTGTAGGTCTAGAATTATGTTTAACAGTAGCCATTCTCCCCCTAAAATATAGTTACAGTTCATTTCACAGGTTGCTGAATTGGAATGGCATATAAGCACCAGCAAATAAATATATATTATGTGTCCACTCCTAGAATAAGAGAGTAATAACAGGGATTGGAGTAGATCTATGGCTGCTGATCTAATACTTTTTGATCATATCATTAAGTTCCTTAAAGCAATTTTCATGACATATATGAATATCCCACTCTAATTCCTTTCCACCTATTGTAAGATTCAAATTGCAACAGAAAACATATATATTTCAAAATAACAAAATTGGTTTTGTCTGTAAAAGAAAACAGTGGCTACTTAATGAAAAAAATTGCCATTTTTCCTGTTATACCTTACATTTTTTATTTAATATTTCTTAATTTTTTGGTGCTTATACAATTTTGCTTACTCTAAAAGGAAGCAGTAGAATAGGTATATATTTATGGTCACTATGAATTTTTCAACCGCTAGAAATTAATATTGATAACTACTTATTACATTTTAAGGAATGTGAGTTGTAATAAATGAAACACTGTAATTATTCATTCAATTTTTTATTTATTACAATAAACTGTTACATAATGCAACTGTATGCAAAATTTAGACGCTCTTGATCAATCTATAAGTTTCAGAAGAAACTGAAACAATCTTTCTGTAAATTTGAAGGCATGCTTAACATTCAAGTCCTACTATTTATATTTTCAAAATAAGACGACAATGAATACAGTAGGCTCAAAAGGTTGACTTCCCTTTTTATCACTATTTTGTAATGTCTCCTTTGGGAGAAATAATAATAGTTACCATTCTTTTTGTGTGTAGTCAACCACATCTTTCTAGTCTTGTGTGGCTATTTTTCCCCTACTTTTCTTTTTAGGTCCTACACACTTGAGATTTCCCCAGATTTTCTATTATATTCAAAATCTAAGGATTGTGATAGCCATTCTAAAATCCCTATTTTCCTTTCCTGCCAGCATTGCATAGTTAATTCCTGCAACTGTAGAACCTTAAAGTCTGTCTTTATTGATACAAAAAGTTAGTTGAGGTTCAATTCAATTCAATTCAGTTTATTAGATTTATAGGCTGCCCAAGGTTACCCTGATTGAGCTTCAGTATGCAAAATAGGTATCTGCATACTGTTCAATTAATTTTAGAATCCAAATTCATGACAGTGGCAAGTTTGTTGCAACAATATATGAAGCTGGAATGACCCAATTGTAAAAGAAAAAAGATGAATGTGCAAGGTTTTATTTATTTTGCCTTCTTTTTCTTTACCGAACTTTAATATGAAGTGTTCCTGGAAGAAAAAAAACTCAGAAAGAGAGGCTAAGGCATGGAGAACAATGAGAAAAACTCATAAATGCTTCAATTCTTTGTAAGCTGTAAAACCTATAACATTTTGTAATAAACATGATCAGTTTTATTTTCATATTTTTGCTGAATTTGGGAATCAAAATGCCTGAAGGGAATTAATTGGGGAAAGCAACATAGAAAAGATATAATACTGTATAGACATCATTTTTCAAATTTCATGTAAAGCAAAAGTGTTTAAAACCGGGAATCCTATTTTTTTTTAATAGGACACATATTTTTTTACCTTTTCTCACTAATAAGAATTGCAGTATTTGCTAAAAATAAGCAAACTAATTATTGTGGTTAGCTTCTTTGTTGTCTGCCAACTTCTATGTCTCATTTGATTTTTTTCAGATTCTTCTAACTATAATAAATAGGATTTTTATGCTGCAAAGCCTTTATGGATGCTATGACATTATTCTCAAGAATGCAGTGAGGCCACTTAATCATTTTTTTAAAACTGGGTATACGTAGCCTAACAAATATGCCCACCTGTTAGAGGGCAGGACAGGGAGTAGGCACATTGGCTTCTAACTACAGTAGCTATGCCCACAATTGCACTCATACTTTTTTTTAGAATTTTATGTCAAGCCCTATGAGGCTGGCAAAGTTAGGAAACAAGGATCACTTGGACTTATGGAAAGATCTTTATGCTTAATAGAGAAATGTAACAGGAGTTTTAAAGCCTATCAAAGTAATACTCAGGCATAACTTACATTTAGTGTTAAGGTGGGGTTCTTTTTTTTTCTGGCACGCTCCCCATCACCTGGACTCAGAAATCTCTTCTGTAACAGCCCTGCTTCCTAATTGTCTTGTTGCCCCTCTACATTCTTGAAGTCTGGTAGTCACACTATCTCCCCCTTTAGACTCACTCTCCCCATCGTCAAGCAATGGAGTGGCAGCAATGACAACAAACACTGCCAAAGATGGACTGGGCCTATTCTCAGAGTCATCTGACAAGTATGAAATTACAGAGTGAAGAGAGAAAGGCCTTGAGGGACAGGAGGAAAAGCTACTACCAAGTCAATTGTGAAATAAAAGGCTTTTAGTAAGTTACCCTACTAAACATCTCAGACAAACTCCTTCCTAGTTCTCACAAAGGTAAAGGGAGGGAGGGAGGGAAGAGCATTTAGACTTGCAAGGTTGTAATTATAACTTTACAATAAAAGTAGTACAGTACTGCTCTACATGGTGTTGAATTCCTAATCTTGAAAGCTGGAAGAACCCAAAAAGGGTGGAATATATTCCACTTTATTCAAAGTAAGTCTAAAATAGCAGCTTACAAGGCAGGTGTGAAAGAGAACACTGCCCTCTTTGGCGATTAAAGTCTGGTAGGCAGTGGTGGGTTGCTGTCGGTTCGCCCTGAATCGGGCGAACCGGTTGTGGCGGCGGCAGGAGGCTCTGCCCACCCGCCCAGATGCTTCTGCGCTTGCTCGGAAGCGTTGCAGGATAGCACACACGAGCAAACTGGTAGTAAAATAAATTGCAACCCACCACTGCTGGTAGAACACTAGGCAGTTCAGGAGGATATGGCTCATATAGAAATTTCAGATGGCAGAAGCTGCAGAAAACAAAAGACAGTGAGGCCCCTTCCTCATAAAGAGTGTTGTAAAACATTGGGTGTACTTTCACAGCAGTGGGCAATTGGAAATAAAAGGGCTGATCTAAATTGTCACAGGGAAAAAGCCAGTAAATATCGAGAACAGTTTCTTGGATAGAAGGAAGGTAGAAAACAAAAAGCTATATCAAATGCCCACAACAATTCTGGCACTGTTCTGTCTTTGGGCATCAACTACTCATTAATATAGCCTTACTCAAATCTTACTAGGATCAGCTGTGCCACTTGTTTCTCTTGAAGCAAATGAGAGGTTTGAGAAACCATAGAGGCTAGAATTGTATGGTGCAAATAGCCCCAGTTGATACCTTAATTTGCTTGAAGAGAGACAAGCCAATAAAAACATACATTGTTATATTCAAATTCTTTAGATATCAATAAGTCAGGCCAATTGATAGCAATGCAAATATGGTTCTGTCACTACATTTCTTTTTCCTTTCTGCCTCTTCAAATCTGGGAAATGTGCCAATGAAAGATAAGTATAACTGCCCAGTAATTACAAGGCTTTCTATAACCCTGATTTAAATTGAGAGCCATAATCCGAGATCAATGATTAACTGATCACCAAAAAAAGCAATCTAGAAATAGTTGTATAGCCAGTAAGTCCAGTGTTGTTTATCTCATGATTTCTAAGGATAATATCTGTTTCTGTTGCATAAAGTGTGTTTTGGCAACATTACTCCAGCCCTTTGATCATCTTATTTTCCCTTCTCTGAACACTTTTCTAGTTTCACTATACCTTTTGGAG